GAGGGGGCGCGCTGGCTGTGGGGCGAGGAGCTAGGCTGGCTGTGGGAGGGCAGGAGGGGCGCGAGGCCCCCGCTGCTGGGGGGCGTGGGCTCGCTGCGGGGCAGGCAGAGGTAGAGGGCGGGCGCAGTGCCGGTGCCGTACCGTGCCGGAATGAAGTGGTCGGGGCGGAGGGCGGGCTGGCTGCGGGGAGAAAGAGCTGGGCTGGCTCTGGGGGGGTAGGCGGGAAGGGGCCGCCGCGCGCCGGGGGAAAGGGGGGCGCGGTGTCGGCGCCGTGCCGCGCTGGAATAAAATGGACGGGGCGGAGGGGTCGCGCTGGCTTGGGGGGCAAGGAGGTGCTGCGCTGGCTTCGGGGGGCGAGGAGGAGGAGGAGTTGGGCTGGCTGCGGACATAGGGCGGGGAAGGGGAGGGGGCGCGGAGCCGGTGCCGGCGCCTTCCCGTGCTGGAATACAACGGACGGGGCGAAGGTGGAGCGCTGGCTAGGGCGCAAGGGGGAGCTGGGCTGGCTGCGGAAAGGAAGGACGGGCGCGGTGCCCTTGTTGGGGAGCGTGGGTTTGCTTCGGGGCGGGGGAAGCGGGAGGGGGGGCGCGGTGCCGGCGTTGTGGCGCGCCGGAATAAAGCGGTCGGGGCGGAGGGGGGGGGGGGAGTTGGGTTGGCTGCGGGAGGCGAGGAGGAGGAGCTGGGCTGGCTCCGGGGGGATAGGCGGGAAGGGGGCGCTGCAGGCCGGGAGAGCGGGGAGCGCGGTGCGGCCGCCGTGCCGCGCAAGAAAAAAGTGGTCGGGGCAGAGGGGGCGCGCTGGATGTGGGTGGGCAATTGGGGGAGCTGGGCCGGCTCCGGGGGGCGAGGGGGTGCGAGGGGGAGGAGCTGGGCCGGCTGCGGGTGGGGCAGGAAGGCGCGGTGCTGGTGCCGGTGCCGCTGTGCTGGAACAAAGTGGTCGGGGCGGAGGGGGCGAGCTGGCTGGGGCGCAGGGAGGAGCTGGGCTGGCTGCGACAAGGTAGGAGGAGGAGCTGGGTTGGTTGCGGGGGGGAAGGAGGGGGCGAGGTGCAAGTGCCGGTGCCGTGGAGTGCCAGAAAAAAGGGGGTCCTGGCTGATGGGGCGAGCGAGGAAGAGCTCGGCTGGCTGCGGAAGGGCAGGGGGGCGCGGTGCGTTGGCCGGGGGGCGAGGAGGAGCTCGGCATGTTCGCCGAAACCGTGCCGTCCCGAAATACATTCGTCGGAGTTCCAGACGGAGGTGCAAGAGAATCAATGATTTGTGCTTTCTCGCCGAGGCCTTCTTGGACGCTCCTAAGGGTCGCAGGGTGCCCTGTCCAGGTCCAGGTGAGGGGGTAAAGGGGGGGGGGTGCAAACCCTTCCCCGAACTCTTAGGGGAGTTCCTGTGGCCTCTTTGGGGCCTTTTGAGGTTCCTTGGGAGGCCCGTTGGCCGTCTGAGGGCGTTCCTGGCCCGCCTGACGCCGTCGGAAGCCGTTTGGGGAGCCTTTGTGGCCCGACTTGGGGCCCAGCTGGGGCGTTCCCGCGCCGTCTTGGAAGCCATCTTGGGCGTCGTGAAGGTCTCCTGGGCCGTCTTGGTGTTCTCTTGGGCCGTCAGGGGACCGTCTCGGAGGCCTCTTGGGCGCTGTTGGGGCCATCTTGGTGGCCTCTGGGCCGTCCTAAATCAATCAAAAGCCTAGCGGCAATACATGAGTATGACCTTTTCTGGGTTCCTGGAGGTCCATGGCCTCGTGGGCAGTCTTGGACGACGTTGATGCCATCTAGGGGGGGATATCGATTTGATTTGGAGAAACCTTGGGATCATCTTGGGCTTTCTTGGGGCCAAGCCGAATCCGTGTTGGAGACCACCTTGGCCGTCTGGGAGGTCATCTTGGGGCCGTCTGGAGTGGAAAGACCGACGACCTGGAAAGTGAACGGGTCCTCATGGGGCGGAAAGACCGATGGGAGTTTCGTTTTCCGGGTGGCTGGCGGGTTGGGCCAAGACCCCATTGGGAACTGTTAAACAGAACCACAGCGTCTTACAACAAGTTTGGCACGCTGTGCACCCTTGTGACAGCCTGCATGGGACGGCGGATCGAAGACGCCTGCTGCGAACCACCGCCGCCCCCTGCCTTTGGGAAACGCCCATGCGGCCAAACGTTGGGCCGAGGTCTGGCCTAGCTGTTGGACTACGGGTTCCCCCAGCCTTTGTGGAACCCCTGCGGGGAACACATGGGAGAGGACTGGGCATTTGGAGGCCGTCTTAGGGGCCCTCTCTGGGCAGTCGTGGGGTCCCTCTTTGGGCTCTTGAGGGCCATCGTGGAGGTCTACGGGGCCGTCGTGGAGCAATATTGTGGGGCCTATGGGGCCGTCTCGGCGCGTCGGAAATCCGGAAAGGCGAGAACGCTACAATCGCTTAAAAACCTAGCGGGTATCAACGATGTTGGCCTCCAAGAGGTCCTCTTGGAGGCATCGTTGGTGGCTCTCGGGCCGTCTTGGGCCATCTTGGATCCATCTTGTGCCGTCAGCGGGTGCATCTTGGGCCGTCTTGGAGACACTTTGGATACCTCTCGGGGGAGAATGATCCATCTGGTAGGCAGTCTTGGAGGCCGTCTTGCGGTGGAAGACCAATCGAGACCGCAGCTTGCGCAGCTTTCCCGGAGGCCAGCAGGTTGGGCCAGAGGCTCTTGGGAATTGCGAAGCAGCGCCAAAAAATTTAGAACTCTGGACTGCGTGCACCCCCGTGGCAGGCCACAGCGGGCGGCGGATCGAAGACGCCTACGGTGAATCACCGCCGCCCCTTGCCTTTTGCAGGCGCCCATGTGGCCAACGTTGCGGCCAGAGCTCGGCCAACCCATCGGACCACGTGTTCCCCCAGCCGTTGTGGAAACCCTTCGGGGATCAGGTGGAAGAGAAGGAATAGGAGAGGGAGGGAAAAGGAGGAGGAGGAGGAGGAGGAGGAGGAGGAGGGGGAGGAGGAGGAGGAGGAGGAGGGGGAGGAGGCCTCGTAGGAGCATTCTAGGGCATGTTTGTCCTCATGCGAGCTTCCAGGGGGCCTCTTGGAGGCCCCTTGGGGGCTTCCTTTGGCCTCTTTGGAGGCTCCTTGGGAGGCTCTTGAGCCGTCTGCGGGCGTTCCTGGACCGTGGGAAGCCGTCCTGGAGGCCTCTCTGGGCCGACTCGGGACCCTCTTCGGGCGCTTCAGAGCCGTCTTGGAAGCCCATCTTGGGCATCTTGGTTGTCTCCTGAACAGTCTTAGGGCCTCTTGGGCCGTCAGGGGGCCATCTCGAAGTCTTCTTGGATACTGTTGTGGGGCCTTCTTGATGGCCTCTTGGGCCGTCTTTGGCCATCGGACAGCCTAAAATGAGCAAACACCAAAATATGTGAATAACCTAGCCAAAATGTATGATTCTGGCCTCTTCGGGCCTTCCTGGAGGTCCTTTTGGAGGCCTTGGGCAGTCTTGGAAGCCTCTTGAGCTGGCTTGGGCGATCCTGAGGCCGTCTTAGGCCATCTGTGAAACATCTCGGCCCGTTTTGGAGACATCTTGGGGCCATCTTGGTCTCTTGGGGCCATCGTAGCCGTCTTGGAGACTATCGTGGCCGTCTTGGAGGCCATTTGGGGGCCGTCTGGAGCGGGAAGACCGACGACCTGAGGAGTTTACGGGCCCGGTGGGGCGGAAAGACCTATAGAGAATGAATTGTCCCCGTCCTTCGCCAGTCTCTTGGGACGTCGTGGGGCCATCTTGGGCGTCTTGGAGCGGTTCTTCGCGACTCGCATCCCTTCCTCCTTCTCCTCCTCCTCCTCTTTATCCTCCTCTTTATCTTCCTCCCCCTCCTCCTCCTCCTCCTCCTCCTCCTCCTCCTCCTCCTCCTCCTCCTCCTCCCTCTTCTCCTCCTCCCCTCCTCCTCCTCCTCCCTCCTCCTCTTCCTCTTCCTCTTCCTCCTCCTCCCCCTCTCCTCTCCTCCTCCTCCTTTCCTCTTCCTCTTCCTCCTCCTCCCCTCCTCCTCCTCTCCCTCCTCCTCCTCCTCCTCTGCCTCCTCTCCTCCTCCTCCTCCTCCTCCTCCTCCCTCCTCCTCCTCCTCCCTCCTCCTCCTCCTCCCTCCCTCCTCCTCCTCCTCCTCCTCCTCCTCCTCCTCCTCCTCCTCCTCCTCCTCCTCCTCCTCGAGGAGGAGGAGGCGGAGGAGGCGGAGGGGGAGGAGGAGTACATGTAGAAGAACTCCCCCTGGGGCTTCGACACAACCCGCCAGCCGCCCGGAGAGCTGCACAAGCTGCGCCTCAATGTGTTCAAGCACCTCCAAGACGGCCCAGATGGCTCCAGGTGGCTTCCAAGATGTCTCCAAGATGGCTCCAGAGTGGCCTCCAAGGCGGCCCGAAGCTGTCTCCAGGACGGCCTCAAGAATGCCCAAGACGGCCCAGGCTGGCCTCAAGATGGCCCAAGACACCCTAAGAGGCCCCAAAGAGGCCTCCAAGATGTCCTCCAGGAAGGCTCGAAGAGGTCACAATCATGGTTTGTCCTCCAGTTTTTGAGCGTTTGGGGCTTTGTATCCTTTTCGGCCTTCCGACGACACAGTACTGTTTAAGAGGCCTTCCAGATCGCCCCACGATCACCCAAGAGGCTTCCAAGATGACCCAATGACGGCCCAAGAAGTCCCCAAGACGGCCCCAAGATTGCCCGAAGCCAGCCCAAGAGGCCCCCCAGACGCCCAAGATGGTTTTCAAGACGACACTGAAGCGCCCCAAGAGTGCCCCAAGACGGCTCAGAAAAGCTCCCAAGACGGCGTCCGATGGTGTCAGACGGGCCAGGAACGCCAGAATACTGCCAAAGAGGCCCCCAAGAAGCCCCCGAAGAAACCCCCGAAGAAGCCTCCAAAGGTCCCCAAGAGGCCGAAGGAGGCCCCCCAAGAGGCCTCCAAGAGGCCCCCAGGAAGCTCCCAGGAGGCCCCAAGAATGCCCCAAGAAGCTGCTCCGTAGCCATGTTGGCTCAAGCTGCCACGGGTCATTAAGGGCGTTCCGCTGTGCCCGTGCGAGCTTAACCCGCCATGGCCATGATCCTGGCCGCGGTGAGCGGGGACTTTGCCGACACCTCCTTCTTTACCCGCCTTGAGATCGATGATCTTGCCAGGCTGGAGACTGTCTGCTGGGGCCTGCGGGAGCTGATCCAAGATGGCGGTGCCTGGGGCTCGTGCATCGCGCACTCCTTCCCCGACGTGTCGATTCAGGGGGAGGTCCGCGCGGCGGCCAGCCAGGGGGCGACCCGAGAGCGCCGCCTGGAGATCAAGAAACTGCTCTCCGCGCTCGCCTCGGTGCACACGTTCGTGCCCGGCCGCGAGCCCCTGACCATCGCGACGATGGAGAGGGCCAAGGAGCTCGAGGCCGCGGTGGCGCGGGGGCTCGGCGCGGCCAAGGCGCACGCGGAGGCCGGCGGCGGCGCCAGCCGCCTGGTCGTTGGCCACTTCTACTTCCCGAACGCGATGGCCCTCCCGGCCGCGGTCGTGAGCACCACGGGGGAGGCCCTGGACCTGGACGGGGACCTGGGCAGCCTCTGGTCCGTCAGCGCGCCCCTCCAGTTCTCGCTGCCGCGCCCGCACAAGATCAGGAGGAGGAGCCGCCGGCGCGGTGCCGACCACAAGGCCGAGGAGGAGCTGTGCCTGCGCTTGGCGTGGCGGGGCGACTCGGTCCTCGCCCGCATCACGAAGCGCGGCGCCTCCGTGGTCAGCCCGGTGCCCTTCCTGGGGGCGGGCTTCGGGCACGAGCTGATGCTCGACGTGCGTGCGCTGGGCAGCGCCCCCATCCTGAGGTCGCGCGGCACGCTGATGCGCGTGGGCGGGCCGTGGAAGAAGGTCAGCGGCGTGTGCGCCGCGCACCTGCCGCGGCTGGAGCTCGCCGAGGCGCTCTCCACGGGGCTCGCGTGCGTCGTGTGCGTGCGGGACACGGTGGACCTCCGCTCGATGGCGGAGAGCAGCGACTGCGTCCTCGGCATGTCCCCGCAGTGCGCCAACGCCCTGAACTTGGAGGTCTCGGCCCGCCACCGTCCGAACGACGTGATCTCCATGCTGTCGTTCCTGCCCGAGTTCGAGGTGGCCGCCGCGCGCCCCGGCGGCACGATCATGGCCGCGGCGGTGGCCGAGCCCGCCGCGGGAGGGTCGGCTCTGGAGATGGAGGCGCTGGAGATATTTGAGCACTGGGACCTTCACGACTGAATGTGAGCAGCGCTGCGTCGCTTGTATAGGCGGGGCTTGCCTCGGTGCACGAGCCTCGCCAATTCAAGCCGTGGCTGACTAGGCCGCGACGTGGCGGAGAGGGGAAGAGCGCACAGGGAACACGCAGAAGAGCTCCAGAGGAAGGGGGTGTGAAGGACACCATCGGCTTGCCTGTCTGCTGCTCTGGGGAGTGCCCCGCGCGCGACAGGGTAGCCGCGGAGGTTACCCAAACCAGGCGTGGCCTGTCTGCTCGTCGCGCGCGCTCTCTGGAAACGGCGCCGGGCGAGCGCGCGGCCCGCGCGCGGCCGGCGTCGGTTGAACCCGAGGCCAGCCAGTCCTGCTTCGGCCGCGCGCAGAGGGGGGCAGGGGGAGTGGGGAAGGCTTCTTAGCAGCACCCCCCCTGCTTCTTAGAAGGCGCGGGCCTTCTCGGTAGATGTAAGGCCCGCGCCTTCTAAGAAGCAGCCTCCTTTCAGAAGCCGTCCCCCCTCCCCCTCCCCCTAATTACCCCCTTGTGCGCGCCGCCAGATGCTCGTCGCTGGCCCCGGTGCCGTCCGCTGCGGCAGTCTCTCTGGGGCCCGCGGCTCCGCCCACATTGGTACGCGGCATGGGCGTGTCCGCGGCCCTAGGCACCCGCGCGCCTCGAGAACAGGTCGAGGCGGCCACCCTGTCGTCGCTTGAGGATGAGCAGCAGCAGGAGGATGCGGGGGGAAGGACCTGGTGTTAGGACGCCCGACCGCGCCTGGTGTGCACAGCTCTCCGCCTGGCCTACGCGACGGGCGCGAGTGCCCCATGCCCGGGCGGGCGCCGCCTATCCCTCCCTTGCCCTTGCGGCCGCTGCTCCTCCTCCCCCCCTCAAGGCCTCCTCCGAGGAGGGGGAGATCCCAGCGAAGGGCGAAAAGGTTCGGTATCGTTTCACCAATCCCCATCCCCATCCCCATCTCCTTCGAGACCCCCACCAAATCACCCCCCCAGTTGGGGATACACCCCTCGAATCCCGAAGGGAACGACCTACATCCCCATCTAGGAGGCTAAATCGGCCAGTGGGGCCCAGGCCACGCCGCTGGGGATGGGGGTCGGCTAAACGAAACGCAGAGGTAGAGGCATCTCTCCTTGTGTCACTCCCCTCGGCGGCCCTGGCGCCGGCCAGGGCCTGGGCTCGGCGCCGCGAGCGCCACAGGAGTCCTTGGCCCATCAGCGGTCGCGCACGCCCTGGGCTTGTCGAGCGCACAGGGCGGGTGTGGGGAGTGGGGGGCGGCGGCCTTCTGTCAGGAGCAAAAGAAGGACATACACGTACATGAATCCACGCTGGTTTCGAGAGTACGCTTTGCGCGAGTAGTCGTATCACGCGGCGGGTCTCGCGGATCGAGGGGCCGTGTTCATGTACATCGTTGGGCGCGTACGCCCTCTGTGGGCTCCCTGGGGAGTGGGGGTTGGCCTTCTGGGAAGGCACGGGTGTTTCTCGGAGAACGGCCGATGTTGCAAGTGCTCGTGGTGCCGCCCCCCTCCTCCGTCGCTCACCATTTAGAGGCACGACGCGGCCCCGCTGGCCTGCGACAGACGCCAGCGCGCGCGCGCTCCACGGCCCCAACGAAGCTGGTGCGCGCGCGAGATAGTCCGCCGCTGGAGGGCTCCGTCCGCCAGTCTTCGGCTTCGTCCCAGCTCACGTCCCTGACTGCAGGGGTGGAGGGGCAGGAGCCCAGTTTTTTTTGTTGGGGGGGCGGGCGTCCAAGGATGGTCTGCAGAGATGGCCAAGCAGTTGTCCTAGGGCTCCTCGTTCTAGACCTGCCACGCTGTGCTGTGTTGTGCTGCCGTCCAGCGACGAACCCCGCAGACAGCCACAGCGCTCGTGCTTGTGAGTGGGTCAGCGCACACTCAAATCATGACCAGCGCGCGTCGCTTTGTTTAGCGCTCTTCCCGCACACCCCAGGTCGCAAGACATGTCACTTTGGTTTCCCTGCGCATGTCCACCTCCTTCTTCCCCGCCCCCGCGCTTTGTGCTATTCTGCCCGCGCGACCTATTACAATCGGTGTGTGTCACTGCCGTTGGTCGCGCCTGCCCAGGGGTGGGCAGCAAGTTGGGTCAACGAGTGACCTTTTTGCATCTTCCTGCCGTCATCACAGCCACTGTATTATATTATATATAGAGAGAGGGGTGCTGGTGCGCTCGGCCCACGGCCTGCAGACTTTATCGCCGACGCCACAGCGACCAGCGCAGCCTCCTGGTCCTCCACCACCTCTCCCTTCCCCTCTCTCGCTCTCTCCCTCCCCTCCCCTCCCCTCCCCTCCACAATTACTCAATATGAAAATACTCTGCCTCTTCCCCTGATGGCGTCCGGGTGATGGCCGCGCACCCTCCGCGTACTGTTTTTTTACAGACAGGATGCCCGGGAAATCCCGGGAAACGACTCTCGCTGAGGCGCCGGCGTCATTTTTTCCCAAAATGCTGCTCTCGTTGAGGCGCCGGCCTCCCGCTGCAGCGTGGGCCTCATTTTCGGATCGGTGTTTGGCCTCCGTCGTTCAAGATGGCGTTCTCGCCCCAGCGCGGGCCTTCTTCTCGCGCGCCCATCCGCCCGCCACCACCGCGCCGCACCGCCACCACCACCACCACCACCACCACAACCACCACCAGCACCAGCACCAGTACCAACACCACCACCACCACCACCACCGCCACCACCAGCACCACCACCACCATCACCACCACCACCACCACCACCACCACCACCACCACCACCAACCACCACGCACACACGCACGCACGCACGCACGTGCACCACCACCCACTACGCACGCGCGCGCGGAGCCACAGGTCCGCTACGACACGCGTCCGCGGATAGAGAAAATCAGCGCCATGGTAAGGGATGGGAGGGAGGGGTAGGACGTCAGATATGACGCGAGGCACCTAGCTTGCCTCCCTCCCTCCCCTCCCCTCCCCCCCTCCCCTCGCCTCCCTCCCTCCCTCCCTCCCCCCCCATCCCCTCCCTCCCCTCGCTGCCCCCTCCCTCCCTCCCCTCCCTCCCTCCCCTCCCCTCCGGGCCCCCCCCCCCCCCCTCCTGGCGCGGCCGAGGGGCAGGGGCTCGCCTGCCCACCTCGGGCCGAGCGAAAGGGGGGACAGGGAGGAGGAGGAGGAGGGGAGGAGGAGGAGGAGGAGGCGAGGAGGAGGAGGAGGAGAGGAGGAGGAGGAGGAGGAGGAGGAGGAGGCGGAGGAGGAGGAGGAAGGAGGAGGAGGAGGAGGAGGGAGGAGGAGGGGCGGAGGAGGAGGAGGAGGATGAGGAGGAGGAGGAGGAGGAGGAGGAGGAGGAGGAGGAGGGGGAGGAGGAGGAGGAGGGGGGGGGAGGAGTAGGAGGAGGAGGAGGAGAGGAGGAGGAGGAGGAGGAGGATGAGGAGGAGGAGCGGGGCAGGAGGAGGGAGGAGGAGGAGGAGAGTAGGAGGAGGAGAGAGGAGGAGGAGGAGGAGGGGAGGAGGGGATGTGAGGAGGAGGAGGATAGGGAGGATAGGGGATAGGACGAGGCAGGATAGGACGAGGAGGATAGGACGAGGAGGATAGGGACGAGGAGGAGGAGGAAGGAGGAGGAGGAGCGAGGAGGGATAGGGGAAAGGGGGGATTACGAAATCTGCTGCGTGCTGCTGGTTTCGGCCCCGCCGCCGGGCCCACTCCTCGATACATGGGCGCCTCCCGGCACCGGGAGCCGCCAGGAAAGTCAGCTACGTGCGCTGATTCTCAAACCCCCCTTTTGCTAATCCCCCCCTTTCGCCCGGCCCGACCACCCCCGCCTGGACCACACGGGGAGGAGGTCCTCGCCGAGCTCGGCGCGCCCACGCCTGGGGCGCCCCCCCCGGGCAGGAGAGGGAGGACTCCAGGGAGGAAAAGCCGCCCAGGCCGGACAGTGGGCGTTCACCAAACGGCGCGGGGCGTGGACCAAGCAGCCCTGCCCCGTCTGATTCCTGCTTTGGGTGCGTGTACGAAGCGGTCTCGCGCGTCGGGGTGGTCATGATCGGGGTGGATTCTCCGCCCTCTCAGAAAACAGGGGATGGGAGGGGCGGAGCCGGCAGCGCGCAGCCAGCACGCCAAGCGACCTGCACGAATTCGGGCCCGCCCGCTCGGCCCGTGCGGCCGCCTCGGCGGGGGCAGGGCTTCGGCCTGGCTCTCGAGCCAGGCCCTTCTGCGGCCCCCCGCCCGATGGGGCGCCCGCCGGGCGCGGCCCGCCCCGAAGGGAGGCTCCCGTCGGAGGCCGGCGGCCTGCCGACCCGCCTGGGCCCTGGCCGGGTCTGGGCCCGCACCCGGTGTGCGGGGGTGCTCCTCGGAGTCGAGAGGGCGCGATCTGCAAGTGGTCTGAGCGCCTTCTCCACGCCTCGCTGCTCCCGGTGATCCGAGGAGGACGAGGGTGCCGATGCCGCCACCCCTCGCCCGTGCTCCCTTTTTTTCCTGGGCCTCCCGGGAGGCCCTCGTCGCCGCCTCTGGATTTCCGCCTCGAGATCTGGTCAGAACGCACCCCGGGAGAGGTCTGGGGAGTAGCGGTATCGGTGCCTGTTGCTCCTTTCCTTCGCTGCGATTGTGGAGCGTCGAGTGGCGGATGCTACAGGGCGCCGCCGCAGCTAGCTACAGATTGCAGGTCTCACGACGAAGCCGCAGCTGCGGCTTCACGTCGCGCGCGACGACGCTGCAAGCCTGCGACCGCGTGGTTGAGGCTGCTCTGCACCAGGGACGAGCAGAGCGTGTGTCTTTATTGCTTGGGCCATAACGCGCGTCAGGGCCCTTCCCCATGACGTAACGCTCAAATCCCAGGACAGGCACCTTTTGGCTGTGCAGGCTGGGCAGGAGGGGAAGGAAGGGGGGAGAGGGAGCCCTCCAGTGAGAACCAGTGGGCATCTGTGCAAGCGCCCCCTCGCTTTGAACAGCGGGCGCAGCGACACTGCTGGGGCAGCATCAGCCCGTGCTGCCGCCACCACGCGTGGGGGGGGAGGTGTGAGGAGGAGGCTCACGTGGACGATGGAGAGAA